GAGGCGTCCGAGGCGCCCGAGGCGCTCGAGGCGCCCGAGGCGTTCGAGGCACAGATATCGAATGTTCGGTCCGTGGTCCCCTGCGTGGGCCCCTCTTCGGGCGGTCTTGGGGCCCTCCTGGGCCGTCGTGAACGCTTCTTGGGCCATCTTGGAGCCCTCCTGGGCAGTCGTGGAGCCCTCTTGGAGCCCTCTTGGAGACGCCTTGGGCTGTCTTGGGGTAGTCTCGGGAGCTTCTGGAGCCGTCTTGAAGCGTCGGGAAGCCAAACATGCGAGAAGGCCAAAACCCCTCCTGGGGCTCTCTCGGGAGGCTTCGTGGAGCGCTCTCAGGACATCTCTGCGCCCTCTTGGGCAGTCTTGGAACCATCTTACAGCGCCTTGAGGCACTCTTGGCCTCGGCAATGCAAACATTCATAATTTACGAAGGTTTGTTGCCTCGGGGACGCCAGAATTGTGTAAGTCACGAGGGCTTGTGGCCTCGGGGACGCGAACATTGTGTGAGTTACAGGGGTTTGTGGCCTTGGAGACGCGAACCTTGCGTAATTTACGACGGATTATGGCCTCGGGGGCGCGAATCTCAAATATTTGCACGTGTCCCACGCCCCCTGGAAATTCAGGCAACGCGATCCGGGCGTGGTAACCGGGCGGTTTGGGGCTCCCCCCACAGTACAGTGGAGGCCAGTCCACAAGAAATCTCGCACAAGAAACCCAACCCTGAGACTCCAGGACGTTCATTGATGTTTGGTGTGGCAGCGTCGCGCCCAAAGAGACCCAAGGCACCCTGGAGCCAAGCAGGGTGTTTCTTGGCATGGGTCTCCACTGTAGGAAGCAGAACGCAGGACTGTAACACCGGAGACTCGAAACTGCAAGTGGTGCAGGGAGCAGCACAGTTCGGCCTGCAGCCTGGTGGCCCCACAAGGGAGCCGGCGGATCTCCCGTTCAAACCCCCTCCTCCATCTCTCCCAAACATGAAGAACTCCTCCTCCTCCCCCTCCTCCTTCTCCATCTCCTCCTCCTCCTCTCCTCCTCCTCCTCCTCCTCCTCTCCTCCTCCTCCTTCCTCCTCCTCCTCTATCTCCTCCTCCTCCTCCTCCTCCTCTCCCTCCCTCCTCCTCATCTCCTCCTCCTCCTCCTCATCATCATCATCATCATCATCATCATCATCAACATCATCATCATCATCATATCATCATCATCATCAGCATCATCATCATCATCATCATCATCATCATATCCTCAGCAGCAGCATCATCATCATCGTCATCAGCATCATCATCATCATCACAATCATCATCCATCTCCTCCATCTCCTCCATCTCCTCCTCCTCCTCCTCCTCCTCCATCTCCTCCTCCTCCTCCTCCTCCTCCTCCATCTCCTCTATCTCGTCCTCACCCTCCTCCTCCTCATCCTCCTCCTCGTCCTCGTCCTCCACCTTCTTGCCGCAACACCAAGCGTGTCCATAGGGTGGGCCATACGTTTCTCTTGAGATTTCCTCACCGCATATGACCCTTAAGAGTGCTCCAACATTTACGCCAGTCCCACGATGGCCAACTCACGCGGAGCCTCCAACAGGTGAGTCTGTTCATGGCAGTATCTCCGACAGTTACACGAATGGTGGACGCGCCGCCGTTTTCGAAGTGTGGTTCTCGCCTGAGGGCCCTACAGACTTAAAACGAAAACAAAGCTGGAAGGTGGTTCTTCTTATGTTTTCTCTTGGCCAGCGTCTTCGCGCAGCACCTGTCTGTAACAGTCTGTAACACTGCAAACTATGTGACAGAAGTATTGGAAGGTATTAAGCCTCTTTCCGAGAGCAGGCCAGCGCGATGCCTTCGCGACGGGGGTAGGCGGGAGGCGAGAAGGAGGGGAACCTAGGAGAGTCGAGGAGGGAGGGAGGAGGGAGGAGGGAGGGAGGTGGTGCCCTTCGGCGCTGCTTTAAAGTCGGGCAGAGATGGCCCGACAATTGCAGAGAGTACCGGCTTAGAACTGGTAGTAGGTGTCCAGTGCGGAATATTTGGGAATATGTCTTGTGGTCCCCAGCCTAATGGCACAAAATCGGCACAGGGTGCCACGTTGCCACCAGAAGGTAGGAAGGTGGGTTCCACTCGCCTTTGAAACCGTCACCGTATCACGTCGTCCTCTGTGGAAAAACATGCTCGGCGAGGTTGCCTCACGCGGGAAAAGAAGAGTGGATGCTCAAGACACAAAGTCTGAGGCTGACAGTGGCTGCCCGCGCCACATTTCTCAAAGGTGGTGACTATTTAGCGGGCTGGATCAAAGTTCACAAGAGCACCTTACTGCGTCTAGGCTGTACAATGCACAAAAAAAGGCTGGCGGATCCATCCAGGCGGCGGGCGACGCCACTCATCGTTGCTTCTCTGGTCCGTGGTCCCCACCCCGAGATGGCTGTGGGCGCCGCAGCCGCGCCGCGCTCGCACGCACCGGCATACGTAGAGTATTGGGCGTCACGCGCACTGCTTTGGGGAAGATCGCAATTGCAACACCCAGCTTTGTGGCCCACGGCAACAGCGGGTGCTATTCAGCTTGGGGTGCCGTGATTTTACAAAGTCTCCCCAGCCTGCTCTGAAATCGAAGCCCTCTCTCGATTATCAATGATTCCTCTTTCTCCTCTTCCTCTTCCTCCTCTTTTCCCTGCTCTTCCCCCCCTCCTCCCCCCTCCTCGCGTGGCTGGTGGTCCGGGCGCCACCTTGTCCGCCCTGGTGGATCAGATATTCTCGTTGCCCTCCTTCACCTCCAGGTCGTCGTTCTTCTTCTTGTTCTCGATCGGCACCGTGAACTGCGCCTCGATCTGGGAGAGGGTGAACATGGGCGCGAATATGCCGCAGAGAAGGTCCGTGGCGATGTCGCCATGCTCGATGAAGTGCTTCACGCGCATGTGGTTGCGGAGCAGGCCAACGAAGGTACCGAAGCCGATGTAGAACATGCAGCCGATGAGCGCCCATTGGTAAAGGGCCGCAGTACAGATGGTGACAATGATTGCCATGTAGTACAGCAAAGAGAAGGCGCCCGTCCACAAGCCAAACGTGACGCCCGGACCGAGGCCAGAGAAAGGCCATTTGCCGACGTGCACCACAGCCCTGCCCATGGTTAAGCCAGGCACGGCCGTGTTCTTCAAATGAAGTACGATATTCTTCGCGTTGAAGATGAACGTTGAGAAGGCTTTCCGGTCAGGGTCGAGCCCACCGTTCTCCTCCTGGCACAAGATCACGAGCGACTGCGAGCACCAAAACATGACAAATGTGTAGGGCAGGCCCGTGATGATGGACGCCGCCTGGAGGGCCTTAAGTGCAGCGTCTGGATCTTTGGCGTTGTTGCCAGAGTACAGCAAGGCAATGGCGGTGGCCCCTTCTGTGAAGGACCAGAAGACGCGCTGAAACACCGGGGGGTCTGGGTGGCCGTTGGAGGGAAGGATGTCCACCACGAACGATCCAGAATCCGACGAGGTCACGAAGTAGAACGTCAAAATCATGAGCGTGAGCGCGCACAGCATGTCGGAGTAGCCCCGCGGACCGTACGAGGAGATCTGGTCGAAGAGGATGTCTGCCGTAGCCTGGTTGTACAGGCACACGGTACCATCCTGGAGAGGCACGAAGCAGTCCGGCTGGCTGGTGTTCGGGAACTGGTCGTAATTTTCAGCGGCCAGCTCGTTGATTTCGGTCATGTACTTCTCACACTCAGTACCTTCCTATGCCGATATGTCCATTGCGGTAGGATCGGGTTTCGCGCCGCACGGCACTTCTTCCCACGAGGTATGCTTCACGCACTGCTTGCCCTCTCCGTCTTAGGAAGGATCCACGTACCTGGTGAACTTCGCCCTCTTGCACCTGCCGTATCCGCCGTGGTAAGCATCGTCCAGCACGCACCCGGGGGTCCAGCCCATGCTCAGATTCTGCTTATCCGTCAGATTGTACTGATCAGACCAGGACGATCCCCCACCGTGAGCTTGAGAGCACAGGCCCGCTGAGTCTGCCATGCGCTGCATGCGAATACCCTCGGTGCCCCACACGCAGAACCAGACTATGCTGTAGAGGGTGGGCACAATGACCGTGGCATGATGAAAACTCGAAGGGTCCTGCCTTTGGAGATCCTCGCAATGAATGTGCCAACGAACGGGCCCCAAGAAATCCACCATCCCCAATAGAAGATGGTCCAATCAATGATCCACTTGTTTCCGCTAGTGCCAGAACCACCGAGCCCCATGTCTTTGGAGCCGAGACGCTCCCAAGCGTCGCAATGGAATCCAATCTTCACGACGTACCACAAGTAGTAACCAGTAACCTGCACAATGTTGTCCAGAATGAGGTGGGTCTCGCCGTTCAACGCCACGACAATCATTAAGAAGGTCCCCATTGCGAAGACGCACTGTGAAAGGAACTTGATACCAGAGCCGAGGCCCATCACCACCGACACTGTCGACATGCAGGTGATGATCAGGATGATGAGGATCATGGTCGTCGTGTTTCGTTGGATGCCGAAAGATTCCTGACCATCACACAGGAATATCCTTGGCCACCACATCCAGGAACTGAATACTTGTCCTCGTTCGGGATGGCAAAATTCTCCCCGTGGTGAGTCCCCCAGCTGAGGCGCTGCAGGCCAGCGTTGATCGACATGGCGCCCAGGCCGAGGGACGTGCAGACGCCTGCGATAGAAGCCGCGATGGAGAGGGCATCCACGGTGTTTCCCATCCATCCATAAACGTTGTCGCCAATGAGAGGATAGAACGCGTACCGGACGGTCATTGGGTATCCATGCCGGTAAGTCATGATGTCAAGCGTAGCCCCCATCACCACGTACGGGATCCAGCCATGAACGCCCCAGTGGAAGACGCTCACCATCAGCGCGTGCGTCGCGTCCTCGTCCACGTTGCCGTAGCCCTTGACCGTGGAGAGGAACCTCGGGGAACCCCAGCCTTTGAAGTGCCACATCGGCTCCGCAACTGCGTAGTAGAACAGGCCTGTGGCGACACCGCAGCAGAACAACATTGAGAACCAAGTCGCAGTGCTGAACTCTGGTTAATCGTCGTCCTTTCCGAGCTTCAGCTTACCGTGCTGGACCATAGCTCAGAGCAAGACAATGACCCAGATGTCCTGCGAGACGATGTAGAACCATGTCCACACCTCAGGGATCCAGCCCCAGGCGACTTCGTCCATAGCGAACTTCATGTAGTCTGGCTCAACGCAGCAGAGGATCACGAAGACCCACAGGAAGATTGTCGAGCAAATGAACACGAGGGGATTCATCATGACGACCCCTTTCATCTCAAAGTGCCAGCACTTCCTCATGTGCGCTTCCGTCTCTGGCGGGGCCTCCTCATACTTGCAAACCGATGCCAGCGCTGCCATCTCGGCACGACGTTCCGTTTGCAGACAGCACGCTCAGAACTGGAGAAGCTTGAGCCGCAAATTGTTTCAGCCCAAAATGGCCACGGGAAGCTGGAGGGTGGTTCTTTTCAACCGATGGCTCTCGCAAGAGACTTCCTCGAACGTATGTCCAGCATTGTATAGCGCAAGCTACACAAATTCATGGCGGCTCCTTTTCACAGGTGTAGTTTAGCTCTCCCTTGAGATCGCCTCCGCACGCATGGCCCATTGTGCACCCGTAACACTGATCAGGGTGATCGAAACATAGTTTCGCTGGACATCTATTTGGCCCTATTGCCACACTCTTCGCACCTCCTGCTGTGAGCGGAAGATAACGACCAATAAGTCTAACCTACCGTGTGGTCCGTAGATAGACGATAAGGAAAAATATGAGTCTTTTATCCTCGCGCCCGTCGGATAGAGGGCGCTCAAGATGTCCAGTACCTGAGCCGAGAGGATAGCAGGAAAGATAAGTAGAAAGTGGAGATGAGCGGTCTTCACACACACACATACCTGCAGCTCGAAAGATGCGAGGCAACACCTGTTCAGAACGGCCTCCCGTCTGCATGGCAAGGCCCCCGGGGCGAAGATCATGCAAGGATGCGCCTCCGGCAGTGGCAGGAGACGCCGGCGCGAACTGGTGGAGAGGGATCCTGGGACGGGAGAGCGTACAGCAGCACATACGTCATGTCGCCTAGACTTCCTCTGGTCCTCCTCCTCCTCCTCCTCCTCCTCCTCGTCCCTGCCCTCCCCCGCCGTTCCTCCCTCCTCCCCCCTCTTTCTCACCTTGCTCAGCCCCTCCCCTTCGCCGTCCCTCCTCAGCACATCGTCGGCGCACTCCCATCCAAACCATCCCCCCACACCGTTCCCTTCGGCGTCCGCCCCTCCTTTACCCAACCACTCTCCTAGCACAATCTCGACGTGTACCCTGCGTCCTGAAAGTACCCCGCCCTCTCCGTGCACAACCTGTCGCACACAGCATCTCAAGCACTGGATTTTCATATGCCGTCCTCCGTATCCCGCCCCCGTCCCTCACCCCCTCCTGCCCCCCGACCCCGCCCCCACCCCTTTCATCCTCCCCCGACTCTCCCTTTTCACAATTTCCCCCTCCCCCGTCCCACCCCTTAGCGGAATTCTGTTCCCAACAGGTTTCCCCCGTCCGTCGTCCCCCAATCCCCAATCTCCTCCCGATCCCCTGTCAATCTTTCATACCGTCGTACTGAAGTATGAAATCGAGGTCGGTTCGGGGAAGGGGCCCTAATGTTCTTCGTGTTTGTTGGGTGTATTTGTGCATCCTAGGGGTGTGCTCTCCGCTGTTCTGTGTGTTTTGGCCACCGGAGGGTCTCATGTTTTCGAAGGATGTTCTTCTGGCCTAGATCCGGCTGAAACGTGCTCTTCCCACCACCCCCTCCCCTCGCAGTCAACACTCACCCCCTGCTCGATTCCCCAAACCACCCCAAAACGCCATGCCTGCGCTTTCTCCACTCGCTCGAAAACTTCCCGCAGCCCGCTGCCCACGCACAACCTAGCAAGTAAGCGAAATAATATGAACCTGAAACTCATTACTGTATGGCGTATGCAACATGGCGTATACTGGTTAAGTCGCGCGTGCCCCATGCTATGCAAATGTTGCGCGAGAGGGCCGTTGCGGGCACGCCGTCGCTGTTGTCATCGGCCATGCCCACGCAGCCTTTGGACGACGGCGGTGAGCTAAGGGCGCTGGCGATGTTGTTTGGCGCGCGCTCCAAATCCAAGGTGTAGCCCGCGCGCCTGCGCATCGCCGTAAAAAACTAAGCACAAGCTCCGTGGCTGGGCATCGATTGCCACAGCGCTGGAGCAGCGCCATGATTCGGCTAGCTGTGGCGCCAGCCGCTCGGAGGAGCAGCCAGCTGCAGCCTTCCGACGACATCGCAGCTCCACCTTCGTGCATGATTCTGAATCACCAGGTAAGAAGCCGCGGGAGCAGCGCATCGGTGGTCTCGCTGCGGCGCCTCGAGAACTCGAAGAGCTCGCGGGCGACCTGGAAGCGCGACTCCTCGCCCGATGGGCCGAACTGAATGGCGAGGTTCACAATGAGGTAGGTCACGGTACCTTCGTGCTGGCCGTTGACCATGCCCCCCGCCGCCATCTACGCGAAACCCACGGAATTCCGAGCTCGCGAACGGCTCCGCCGAGGTTGAGGGCGACGGCCGCGCACTGCTGAGCGATGCCCATGTCCATGGCGCGCACGCTCTACACGAGCAACTCCTGTACCCAATGGCGGAATGGATGCGTTGACTCGCGCTAAGGTGACCATGAGGCCGGCTGGCGGGAAGTGATCCCTCCACGACCGCCCCCGTCGCCCTGTGGGCAAGCTCCAAGCATCATGCCAGTCTGCCAGAGAGGGGCGATCACGAAGAGTATGAGGATGCTGCCCCAGAGTGTCATCATAGAGATCCTCCTCAATGAGCTGCTGGGGCGCCTTGGGACTGGTCACGCCGAGTCTGGGGGCAGCTGTACTATTGCTGCCAACCTTGGTCGAGGCCAAGGGCGGTGAGAATGGTGCATAAAAGTGCAGTGTTCCACCCGAGTGGTGCGACGCGCTCAGAAGAACAGCCAGCATTGTCGCACACATCACGAGGCACGGCCCTAGCCCAAGCAAGGGTTTTTTTGTCATGCCCGGCGCGAAGCCACGGCCAGTACCTGTGTGGTTGTGAAGGTTGCGGGGTGTCGTGGCGCTCCCATGGGCGTATACAAACCTCGCGGCGCGTTCTGTTGTTGTTGCCGTTGCTGCCAGCTCCTCACAGCGACTCGAACGAAGCTGCGTATCTGCGGGCGTCTGGGATGAATCCCACCAGCCCTCTGGGCGTAGGTGGTTTAGGGGGGTTCCTCTTCCACCCCTCCTTCATCCCCTTCGGGGAGGGGTTTATCACTGTTCCCTATTAATAAACACCCCTCCCCCAGGCGAGCGGGGGCCAACCAGGGTCCATGCCGACACCCCCCCCCACCATCCCTTGTAAAAAACAATAGAAAGCACACTCTGTCTCCAAATTCGGAACATGCGCAGCCAACCCGATGCGGCCCCCCCCACCATCCCTGTCAAAAAACAATACAGAGTACACTTGGCGGTGGCGGCGGTGGCGGCGGCTGCGGCGGCTGCGGCGGCGGCGGCGGCGGCGGCGGCGGCGGCGGCGGTGGCGGCGGCGGCGGCGGCGGTGGCGGCAGCGGCTGCGGTTTGGCAGCGGGGGCGGCGGCGGCGCGGCGGCGGTGGCGGCGGCGGCGGCGGCGGCTGCGGCGGCTGAGGCGCTGAGGCGGCGGCGGCGGCGGCGGCGGCGGCGGGCGGGCGGGCGGCGGCGGCGGCGGCGGCGGCGCGGCGGCGGCGGCGGCGGCGGCGGCGGATTGGCCCTCAATAGCTGCCCATCCCAAGACGACTGCTGAATATGCTCAGGCTCGGGCCAGAGTCGGGTGCTACGTATGTGTTGGGAGGGCGGGTGGGAGTGAGCGAGACGGCTTGCGGGCGGGGAGGGGGTAACTTGACCCCTCCCCCTACCCCCTCCCCTGGACCTGGACGGGCGCGGCGACGCGTTGGAACGCCCAAAATGGCCCAAGACGGTTCCAAGAGCGCCTCGGATATCAAGATGGGCCAAGCTGTATCAAGATGGCTCTGAAGATGCTCCAAGAGGCCCCAAGACCGCCCCAAGACGGCTCCAAAAAGCTAAATAGCTCCCCAAGGAGTCCTCCAAGAGGCTAAAATCCTTCAAAAGCCGAAGGAAAACCAATGATGTGTGCCTTCTCGCCTTTTCGCTTCCGATGGCCTTCCGAAGCCCAAGATTGCTCCAAGAGGGCCCAATATAGCCCCAAGAGGGGCCCAACAGGGCCCCAAAACGGCCCCAGGAGCGCCCAAGAGCGCTCCAAGAGCACCCCAAGATGGGTCCAGGAGGCTATTGTTGGGGCTCCCGAGGGGCGGTGCTAACTAGGGACCCCCCCCTTCTTTGATCGATCGCCTCCAAGATGGCCCCAAGAGGCGCCCAGGAGGCCCCAAGAGACGCCAATATGGCCCCAAGATGGCCCCAAGAGGCCCCAAGAGGCCCCCAAAAGGCCCCCAAGAAGACCCTAAGCGGCCCCAAGAGGCCCCCCCCCCGAGGCACCCAAGACCCCGAAGAGCCCCCCAGGATCGCCAAGAGACCCCCACAACGTCCCAAGAGGCCACCAAGAATCGCCCAAGAGATACCCCAAGAGGCTCCGAGAGGCATCCAAGAGACCTCTGGCCCTTGTGTTTGCCCCCCTCATTATCCTGTTTCTCCTTCCTGCTCCTATTCCTTCTCTTCCTCCTCCTCCTCCTCCTCCTCCTCCTCCTCCTCCTCCGCCTCCTCCTCATCCTATTCATCCTCATTCTTCCCACTCCCTCATCCATCCAGCCATCCACCTCCTCCTTCTCCCCCTCATTCCTTTGCACGGTTCGGCCGTCCTCCTCTTTGCTGCCGCACTTCCCTGATCACCTCAACTCGCCTGGACATCGTTTATGGATGGGCTGGTGGGGATATTTTTTTGGTCAGCGGCTCCAAGGCAACCGCCAGGGAGCTGGTGGGGATATTTTTTTGATTGGCGGATCCAAGGACATTTCCAGGAAGCGGGATGGACTC